GTATATGGTCAGGGTTAGGCTATAAAGTCTAAAAAAACATGAATGGAAGTCAATGGAAGGTCCCCACGGGGTCGAGAAACAAACATGTGTGTGTGTGTTTATTTGTTTGTTTGTTTCATTCTGTCTTTCTTTCTTTTTTCCTTCCTTCCTCCCTCCCTAAATAAGAGAATTAATAATATCACATACATCTGGATTAGGTGCAACTTTATTGCCTTTGTTACATTACTAGATACAACAGGTGGGTTTCCTCCCACACCTTTCACCTGGTTCTCACCTCCCGGTCCGTCCTACGTRGTCTCCTCGGGATGTTTTTCGATGGTCGCCCGCTCCGCGGCAGCGTCACTGTGGATAAATGAATATATAAATTCTTTGAAATCAGTTTATAACCTATTTCTGCTGTGTGCAAATCCACTATTCTAGCTCTAAATCTTTCTGGTATCTCGTTTCCGCGAGGCATAGTTGCAACACAAAAGGAATGTCCATAAATTAGAAAACCGATGCGAATCCGCTCACTTCCGGTCTAAACCGGAAGCGCGATTGTTGCAAAATTTGTTTACATTTTTTTGCGCATTTGCGCCTGTCGGTCATCGTAAATTTAATGACAGAAACCTTTAAAGTTTAGTTTGTCATAACAGCAACACTTAAAACTCAAACAATATGATAATCAAACATAAAGTTTACCAACAATAAAAATATTGATAATTAAGCTAAATATGAAATATATTATTTAACATAGATTTGCAATATTGAATCAAAATTTCTATTTAAAACCACTTTTTCACACAAATATTATCATTAAGAAACAGTTATAAGTAAACCCAAAAGACACTGTTATAATAAATATATTTTTTTAAACTTCCTTTTAAAAACTGTATGCGTTTATAGAGTATTGTGGGGTAGATCAAGAGATTTCCAACCGGTGAATCGGTACGTGAACGCAGCACAGTAAAAAACTCGCTTTTTAGTGGAACTTTGAACTTTTCTAGTACATCTCAGGTGACAGACTGTGACTTTTTGACGAAGTGAATGCGACATAAATCTGCAGGGGAACTTTGAGCCGTGGATTCTGAACAGATAGCCTCTTTATTTGTTTTATAGTTAAAACAATTCGCGCTGTTCGACAGGAGTGCAGAGGAAATGTCCCTTCGCTACAAAAACAAAGTGGTTATTGTGACTGGAGGATCCAAAGGAATTGGCAGAGGGATCGTCAGAGTGTTCGGTATGTTTTGCAGAGTATTTGTTATGACTGAAGCAGGAAGTTGCGCAATAACGATCATGCGTTGTTGTTTCAGTGGAAAATGGAGCCGAAGTGGTGTTTTGTGCACGAGGAGGTCAGTTTTGTGAGTTTTTTTTATATCTCTCTGCATCCATTGTCTCAATAAAAAAAAAATCAGTGCAACGTCACTTACGTCAGGTCCATGGTATTTCAGGTGCAGCAGGTGAAGCTCTGGAGGCGGAACTTAACATGGAAGGGCCAGGCTCGTGCACGTTTGTCAGCTGTGACATGTCCAAGGAGGAGGACATTCAGGTACATCTGGAGGGTCCCTGAGCCAGATGTGCACCCTGGATATGACACCATAAATAAAAAGCAAAACTACTGAAAGAAAAAAAAGATTTTACTCAGAAAATCTTTAGATGAATGAACAAAGTCTGAAGTTTGTGTTTGTTTTGTTTCCAGAGACTGATCAGAGTCACAGTGGAGCTTTATGGACACATTGACTGCCTGGTCAACAATGCAGGCTGGCGTGAGTCTTTGTCCTCCAGATTTGATGATGATGTCATTTTTTTAAAAAGCTTTTACAGATTGTTTTTATATATTTTTTTCCCTCAGACCCTCCTCATAAACCCACAGATGAAACCACAGCAGAGGAGTTCAGAGATCTGCTCAACCTGAACCTCGTCAGCTACTTCTTGGCTTCTAAAGTAAGTTTTGTGTGTTTACAGACAGCTTAAAGATACTTTTTGTTGTATTTGCTTTTGTTGAGTTTGATAATAAAATATAAGTTGGCAGCATGAAGGAAAAGGCTCTCATTCAGCCATTTCAAACCATATGCAGCTCGGTTTACACCCCAACTGTAGGTTAGTCAGTYTCTTACCTGCAGCAGATAGCCATTTTAATTACTATTGACATCATAGGTTTATTCAAACATCTTTAATTCAGTGAACTTTCAACCTAATTAACTAAAAATTGGTACACTAGTAGCTAAAGGTCAGCGGTTAGCATCGATGCCTCACAACAAGAAGGTCCTGGGTTCGATCCCTGGTTTGGACCGGGGGTTCTGTGCAGAGTTTGCATGTTCTCCTACAGCTTGTGTGTTCTCTGGGTACTCTGGTTTCCTCCCACAGACCAAAAARGTGTACAGTAAGTTGCCTTCAAGCCCAGGCCTCCCTTGCAAAAGATCTCTGTGTGATTTGCCTGGTTAGATAAAATTCAATAAATAGAATTAATTATTTAGTCGTGCTTTTCAAGAAATGTTATTACTGTCAGGAGTGAATAAAAACATAATCTAAAATTTGTTGAAATTATAACAATAAAACTTTTTCATATGATGCTGTCCAAGTATTACTCTTTTAGTTAGTACTAAAACCACAATGTGTGCAAATTTAAATAATAATTTGAATGAATAAAACATCCAAATCCAATTAGCTTTCCTTAAATTACTGGAAACTTAATTTTAAAAAAGTCATTTTTAAAGTAAAAAYTTCTCGATGCTGAGGTTAAGGAGTTTTAGGAGTTTTTCAAACGACAGAACTCCACAAAATAAGTACATTTCGAGCTTAATAATAAAAATTTCCTGCAAAGTTTTTATTTTATAAATCTGTGTTGTTTAATTTTAAACCTTAGTTTCAGAAATATCTGCTTTTTCCTATATAAATGGGTGTAAAAATGTAGATCCTCCAAATTTTTATTATTACTCAAAAAAATTATATAGGAATAACTCCGCTCATGATTTGCTCACATGGTATTAAGTTTGTCACATTTTAGCTGTTGTTGACATGTTTACATATACAGACAGGAAGTCTCTCTCTCTTTCTCTCTCTCTCAGAGGCAGAGAGAGGCAGAGTCTCTCTCTCTCTCAGAGGCAGAGAGAGGCAGAGTCTCTCTCTCTCTCAAAGGCAGAGAGAGGCAGAGTCTCTCTCTCTCTGGTTGACAGGCAGGCACCCCTCCTCTCTCTCTATCTCTCTCTCTCTCTCTCTCTCTCTCTGTCTGTCTGACTGGCAGGCACCCCTCCTCTCTCTCTCTCTCTCTCTCTCTCTCTCTCTCTCTCTCTCTCTCTGACTGGCAGGCACCCCTCCTCTCTCTCTCTCTCTGTCTCTCTCTCTCTCTCTCTCTCTCTCTCTGACTGGCAGGCACCCCTCCTCTCTCTCTCTCTCTCTCTCTCTGTCTATCTCTCACTGACTTGTAGGCACCCCCCACTCTCTCTCTCTCTGGCTGGTAGGCACACCCCACTCTCTCTCTCTCTCTCTCTCTCTCTCTTAGAGGCAGAGGCTCTCTCTCACTGACTTGTAGGCACCCCTCCTCTCTCTCTCTCTCTCTCTCTGTCTCTGACTTGCAGGCACCCCTCCTCTCTCTCTCTCTCTCTCTCTCTCTCACTCTCTCGCTCTCTCTCTTTCTGCAGTTTGCCTTACCATTCCTGCGCCAGCGTCAGGGAAACATCATTAACGTTTCCAGTCTGGTGGGATCGATCGGTCAGAAAGATGCTGCTCCTTATGTTGCCACTAAAGTGAGCAAATATCCACCTTTCTCTTTTTCTTTTTTTAATCCAGCCAGAGCTGCTCTGTAATGTCAGGTTTTCTCCACAAGGGGGCGATCATCTCCATGACAAAGGCCATGGCTGTGGATGAGAGTCGACACAGCGTGAGGGTGAACTGGTGAGGTCAACTGATTTRATTTTGTTCCACATCATCAGGAGAATTCACCAAGAGAAAAATGATAAAAACAGACACAAAATAAATCTCAGACTTCTTCTGGTTTGTTCAAGAAAGAAAGAAAAATATAAATTACTCTTCACGTGTCTCTTTTTCTTCAAAAATTGACACAATCTGATCTCTAAGTTAAACCATTTGAGAAGTTCAGAGACAGAAAGTCTGATTAAAATGAATAAAAATACCTGAACATGTGTTGCAGCATCTCTCCAGGTAACGTGATGACACCTCTGTGGGAAGAACTGGCAGCACAGACGCCAAACGCTGCAGCTGCTGTAAGAGCAGGAGAAAATTGTCAGGTAAAAATAAGAAAAAAAAAAACGTTAAAAATACTTTTTTTATTTCAGACACCCAGATACGGAATTCCATCAGTCCAGCCTAGACTGCATGGACCAGTTTTTCTTCAGCATTTTGGGACAAGATGTTTCTAATTTTAGTGATGTTGAAGAAAGTGGTCCTGGTAACATTTTTAATGTGAGAGTTAAATGACAACTTTAAGCCAGTCAAGTTTTAAAAAAAAAGTAAAAAAAAAGTCACTGACACAATTTCATAATTTAGCTCACCTTCTGAGTGTAAAATCCTAATAAAAAATGTCCAATAGCATTGTATACTCTACCTTACTGTGCTTATTTTGCTCATTTTTGCTAAATGATCAATTTAATTGTTAAATAAACATGTAAATATCACATTCTAAATCTAAATGTAAAAAAGATGTTTTAGCTAAATGATATGTTGATATGTTTAAAGTGCCTGTGACATTATTTTTTATAATAACTATAATAACTGTGAATGTATTTTTGGAAAGATAACACTGATAACATATTGTAAAAAGGATTTCATGCAGCTGAGATGAACGGTTGTTGAGATATTTGCATATGAAGTAACAGGAAGTGATGTCAAAGGGGAATATCTGCATGCGAACAGAGCATTGCTAAAATGGCTAACAACACAGACTGTAGAGAAGAATCTGATGTTTCTTTATATTATTTTAATCGCTATTGTAGAGAGATGAGAAAGGGTCATAGTTCAAATAATATTGTTTAAATAAAGAAAAAACGGGGAGTTTTCTTTCTCAAAGAGTTCCTCTTTGATGTCACTTCCTGTTTCACTTTAGCTGAGCCAAATTCAAAAGAAAATATGCCAATTATGAGACATAATGGATAAAATTGTATTATGCTAAGTTTCTTAAATATAAGTATATTTTCTTTGACTTTTTGTATTTCATGGATATGCACGTCACAGGCACMTTAAGAATGGAATGCAGCCCTTGCTGTTGGTGGTCTGCTTTTATTGTGACATCATCCTGTGACAGAAGTAACTGCTAACGCTGCTAATTAAATTCAAAATGTGTTCAGTTTGAAACCAATAATGGTGGTACCTGTGGTCCGACATTTTGAAGTGCAGCTCAGCCTTAGCGTTGGCAAAGATGTCTCAGGATGATGATGTCATAACAAGAGCTGAGCATCAACAGCAAAGGCTGCATTCCATTCCAAAGTACTTAATTGTAAACTTCAACATTTAGCATTTAAGATTTAACTATTACATTTAGGTTTACACATTTAGATTTAAATTTTTACATTTAGCAAAATGTAAGACAATGCAAAACAGTAAGCTCAGTAACTACAAAATGTTAGTGGGGAATTTTAAACTAGGATTTTGCACACAGAAAGTGAGCTAAATAATGAAAATGTGTCAGTGACATTTTTTTAACGTTTCATTTCTCATGTCGTGGCCTCATAGTTGTTGAGTTCCTGAGGTTGACTGGGTTTATCAGGAGCTGTTGTGAGAACCCTGGAACAACCAGTCACGTGTGTTTCTCCCCCCACCCCCCACC